TTTTTTTTTTTTTTTGTCTTTCTGATATTTTTTAAAAATATTTTCAAATAGAATAACACGAAATATGTATTTATTGCGACCGATTCGAAGAAATAACTAAACATAAATGTAGCAATTAATATCATCATGTTTAAATAGATTGGATGAAGTAGCGGCTGCAAGCCTAACTATAAGTCTACATTATCGTGATTTATGTTTTGTCTTTATTAAGAGACAAAAGAACGGATTGGGTTTGTCATAAAAGAAAAGAAACGTCACAATCCAAGAACCCCCAGTATGGCCCATGGTTCCACAACTAAAACCACCTAAAGGATGAGAAAAGACGAGGAATTGGCAAAAAGAAAAGAAGAAAACAAAAAAACCTCAAATATCAGTCGTACTATCCTATCAAAATTTCAATTTAAATTTCAATTCTTACCTTCCAAAGCAAAGCAAAGGCAAACCCAGAGGCCACAGCAGCAGCTAAAAGCCAAAATCTCCCATCCATCTCAATCTTATAATAAAGTTAAAACCCCAAAAGAAAAAGAATCCATCAACACCACCAAAGTTCATCCACAAAAAGTTCCCAATTATGACTATATTTTGTCATAGTGATTATATATATATATATATATATATTGGCTTAGGGAGAGAACTTCAATACTTGTTAAAGATCAATTTGCCAATGCGGTCCAATGTTCTCCACCACCCTTAATTAGAAACATACTAAAGAAGCCAATTAATCTAATCACGAAATGTCAATGAAGATAGGGTTAGGGTAGTAGGGTACCCCATCAAAAGCATATAATCAGAATTAATTTTTTTATAAGGGAAAAGAAAGGAATACTTATACGGCCACAAGTCAATTGGGGAAATGTGTTTTTGGTCATGATAATAAAAAGGAAAAGCCTTTTGATCTTCAAAGGGGATATTCGGATTACACATGATTTCTCATCCCTATCAAAGGAACCGTTTTAAACTTTGGAATAAGTAAAAGGAAATTCCCTAAAAAGATATCCAACCCCACGGCTAAACTAAGGCTTTGTTTGGCTACACCAGGATCTTACAAAAACACATCCATTTGCAAGAGAAAAAACAAAACCCAAAACTAGAAGGAGAGGATATTCATATTCCTTCTTACACCCAAACCCATATCTTGTCATTCCCTCTATTCTCTCCTTCCAGAGGACTATTATTACTATAAGATTTTTCTTCTTTCTTTTCTTTTTGGTTTTTGGGTGGTTAAGACTTTAGAATTCTCTGGGGTCTACAAAAATGGAAAGTCCAGGGGGAGAATTCGTCCAGTCACCGACAGACCCGTCGCTATAGTCTTCCCCAAGACGTTTGATGCACCATAAATCCTCATCGCACGATAACCTTTTCCAAAATGGTACCCCGATTTTTAACGGCTCACGGTTCGCCACCTCAGTCGCCACCACACTGCACCCTCCTTCTTTGGCCAAGTTGTGCGCGTGTGCGCACAATGCTTTAACAAACTTGGCCGCGCGTGGGCCTTCCCCTCCCAACCCGTACAAAAAGTGCAAACCGAACGGCTTAAACACTTCCGGGATCGACGGTAATCTCAAAAACGGCAACAACTTGTCCGCAATCCTTGTCGATTTAGCCAACGTTTTTCTCACTCTCGACGCGCCACGAACTTCCAACCTGAACACATCCTTACAATTCCAGACACTCAAAACCGCCCACGACTCTGGCGGGTAAGATAAAAACTCATCGGACCCCGACCACGATTCTTGCGTATAGCAACATCCACGTGGCACAGCCAAAAAGGTTCCAAGGCTCAGTCTATTATTTAGCACTGAGTCAATGTCGCGAGGAAAGAACTCGGTGGTGGAGAAACGGCGGCGGTATAGTGACTCAGCGTCGGATGGGGGAAGCTTGATCAGGGTGACTCGGTTGGAAACGGGGAGTCTGTGAGCGAACACGGGGTTAACCAAAATAGAAGGAGTACGGAACTTAGAGTAACCGCATTTATCAGTGAAGAGATTAACGGAAGCTTGGTTGTCGTTTTCCGTCGCTATGTAAGCATATTCAGCACCGTTTTGGGAAAACCATTCTTCCATTCTAAGTACCATCTTTAACCCTATTCCCATTCTCCTGAGAAAAAAAGGAAAACAAACCCAAATCAAAATCATCATTACTATCACTGGTTTTTTGTAACGTATTAGTATTTGTTGGGCCATTTTTGGCAAAGAGATTAAAGCATACCGGTGAGAAGGTGAGACCCGAAGGCCTAAAATGTAAGCGAGCTTGGTGTAAATAGGGACGGGTTTGGTGGGATCACTTTTGGTATTTCGCGAGAGCTTTTTTCCACAAGTAACGGTTTTTATGCAACCGCGAATCATCCCAACAATCTCTTTGGTTGAGCTTAATTCAGCCACCTGCTTTGATTAAAAACGATGTTAAAAAAGGGTACGTAAGAAAAACAAAATAAAAAGAGTGGGATTTTAGTAATGGAGAAAGAGAGATGGAAACAATAGGGGACAAAAGAGAAAATGTTGTACCAGCATGAGAAAAGCAGGGGAGTGGCGGACCCGGCAAATAGGGTCACCTAAGAGGTCGGTAAAGAGAGAGAGTTTGCCGCTGGGACCAACTTCGCATCTTTTTTCTACTTCTTCTACACTAGTTAAATCTTTGCTAGGATCAAACTCTCTTACCACTATAACACACTGATTATCTTCTCCCATAATTCTCCTTTCTTTTTCAGTATTGCGCAAGGTAGAGACAAAGAGGTTATGATAAAGCAGGCGTTCTTGTGTGGAAATGAATGGAACCGAAGGAAGGGTTTATATAGGTGGAAAACTCAGCTTTTTCAAGCTTAGAAAATAGGGTGACTGACGTCTGAAACAAGCAAGTAATAAGAGAGAAAGAAGAGGAGACCGCGGCTAAGGCTACAAGCTTAGGACTTCGATATCAGAGAAAATAAAAAACATGTATATATATATATAAAACTGTATATTCTCTCACAAGAAGACGAAAACAAAGAAGAGAAGGAAATAAAGAAAAAGGCTTCTAAGCTTCTTCTTATTGGAGTTTCTTGGGGTTTTTCTTCGTCTAAGAGAAAACACTGACAAAGTTCATTGCCAGAGAAACAATTGGTTTCAAGCTGCCCTTAAATACTGGTTTATTTGGGGTATTTTAAAAAAAAAAAAAGAAAAAAAAATGAAAGAAAACACTTTTTACTCTCTATCGCCACAATCCCCAAACCTTTCCTTTTCTCTTCTGGCTATTTTATTTAATTCAGTGCTTTTAAAAGTCCCTATCTCTTCTTCTCTCTTCTCTTTCTGTCTGTCTATATATCCGTCCTTTTGTTTCTCTCTCTTTCACACCTTGTAACAAATGTAATCATTAAAAAGAATTAAATGGGCATAGTAAATAAATAAAATAAAAATTATTATTATTAATCATCACAAAAAGGGTGGAAGGGGAAATGGCGGCTGTGGCTGCGCGCAGTCTTGTGGTTTTTATTTTTTCCCATTTCTCTTTTTATTTTTTATTTTAATCATTTAATTTCTACGGATGGAGGCGTTGCCATCATGACCCCATTTGTAATCATTACCCTCCCCCTCCCCCCATCCCATCCGCATGACCATCATGGCCATCTTTTAACATACATAACTCTCGTCGATTCATAAAAAATTCTGATAATATGTATTTTTCATGCATGTTCATTTAATTTTAATTAATAAACTTTGTGTTTTTACTTTGTAATGAAGTGAAAAGTGGTAAAAAGTGAGGCGTAAAAGGCCCGGTGACAACGTGGCGAGATGGGAACCGTTAGTTACGGGAGCTGGGGCACCCAGGAAATTCGGCCGTCAGATTGAAAATACAAAGCCGACTGTACTGGACTCTGCAAAAGCGGCGTTCTTTTTCTGCATCAAAGAGGGGTTGAATAATTAGAGAATAACTGCTACAGCTATAATAATCCTACTGGTAGCGTGACTTTTCCGATCATCATCATCATCGGTATCTTCAATCTCTCTTTTTCTTGATCGTAATCCAAATGGACGGTCGTGATGGCTCCCCTTCACGGGTAGCAAGATTTCTTCACACTGTCATGCTAAAGGTCTATGCTTATCTTTCAGAATTGGAATATTCAGTATGTGATGCAGCCCTATCATTTTTTCTGGACAGCCTAAGTTAATAATTTTGATGGAACTTGACATTAATTTCAAAGCTCCTTTTCGCAAACTCCTTTATCCAAAGGGTAATAATATGATATTTATCTGATTATATCACATAGGATATAATCAAAGGTCACTTTTAAGGATAATTATCCTTTATGTTTGATTGATTGATTTACTAGTATTTTCATTTGATTTTGATTTTTATCTTCAATCTTAAAATATTTAAATTACAAAATTATTCGAATTTGGGTGGATGGAGGAAGGTGAATCCGCATGGTGGATGGTGGAACGCGTTACGCGTTAGTGAAACCCCAATCAAGTTAAGTAGAGAGAGTAGGGAGTTTAATTGGAAGCCGAAAACGGTTTCGACAATGATTGGGTCCTAAAAGAAAATAGACACGTCGTCAATATGGTTAATTATTTATTATCCTATCATTTCAACATTAAATTTATTTTATTTTTGGTGTTTTTTTAGTAACTGTTTAAAGGCACAACCAATCGTTTCGAATTTAAACTACTTAATAATTGAAAATAGCCCCATTGAAAATGACCTAAAAATCATTGAGGATTTAATTAAGAGGAACACTTGGGAGAGGAGGAAAATGAAAGGAAAGTTACTTACAAGTCATGCGAAGTTAGAACTGAGTTTCCTAAGTTTGGCAGAGAGACAAATTTCCAAATTTATTTTAATTTATTTTTGTGGTGTAACCTTTTTTAATGTAATTTTAATAATTAATTTATTGGAAGTAGGACAATGGGACCCTACATTTGTTGGGCCCCATTTAAAATATCTACGTGGGTTAGTGGTGGAGTTGGTGTGTGATTAGTGGGGGTGATTTAGACTCCTCTCCAATTGGCAAGTAGCAATTATTGTTGCTTAAGTATTTTTTGTTTAATTAAGCTTGTGGAAAAAATTAGAGAGGTTTTTTGTACTTTACCCATAATAGTGCATAACATAACGCAAAGTTCGCTAGCTTATGGGAAAAGTTAAAAGGTCAAGTGTTCTAGGCTTAACTATAATATTCTACTTTCATTAAAAAAACTACTCCATATTATATATATATATAGTCTTCTTGACAATCTTCTCATGTCATTTTTAAGTATTTTTATCATCCTTACTTGATAAGACATACATCGAGACAAAGTTTGATTATTCGAGCAGCTAAAGTCTTCCTACCATGTAAGAAAATTGCAATTTTATGTATACATACCATATTTAAATAATCGAGTTCAAATTTTTTTAATAATAATAAATTATCGACATACAACGAACATAATTAGATTAGTTTAATTAGAAAATAAATAAAACTAAAGTAAAACCAAACATAGCATCTTCCTTATTTAATCAAGCCCAATTAGCTCAAGACAAATGTCCATAAAAATTATCTGTCTAATTAAATTATATGCCACCAAAACAATTATTTGCTAGCAAAATCATTTCGTTGTCGCCTCTGTATATGAAAATCAACATCATCTTCTTAAAACTGTATATTTCAACTCTAGTTTTGTTTGTAAAAGGTTGATCCTTATTTGAAGTTGAAGATTTAAATATTAGATCACTCTGTTATATATATGTTCAGTCATTTTTAATTAAAGATTATTCACTGCACGATGCATAATGCATAATTAATTCTGCTATAAATTTATTGTTGGTTTTTTAATATTTGAGGGTGTCTTATATACTATTATTTAAACTTATAATAATAGATTATAAAAAGGATTAAATTAACATAATGTGTCTTTCAACAAAAATTATTAAATTAGCTAGGTAGTGCTAAACTTGAATTTAAAATTTTTATAGGAAGTGATTTAAACCATTAAAGGAGAAAAATTAAATCGAAGAAGGTGACTACGGTGACAATGACAAAGAGAATAATGAAATTAGAATGATGATAGTAATGAAATCAGGGATGACACTAACGTGTAGAAATTGATAGTGGTGTTACCAATGATGATGAAAATGACAATGATAATGATCCATGATGGAGACAATTATAATTAGTTGGTGTATACTATACTTCATTCAGATTTACAAATATTGTTTAGTTATAAATGTAAGTTAACTAGGTTCACACCCAGTTTAGCATAATTATTAATTTCATATACATGCACACATATGTACAGGCAAACACATACATGAGTTTACACATAAAATCATTAATTAATTAGCTAAATTTGGTGAAAAAGTTTGGAAGTATTATAACTAAAAACAAATACAGAACCATTGAAAGGGCTTTAATTAAAAAGGCAATAGTTCTTTCAAATGATCAGTGGTCAAATTTGGCAAGCATATTACGTATATATGCTTAATTTTTTTTTCTTGGATAAATATTGGGTCTAGAATATATAAAGTGGCAATGAAATATATAAGTGATGATGAGATTCTTGCTCTTGCTCATGATTTTATTAATCCTTATTCGAAAATTGTGTGTGATCCTAAGAATCCACCAACATTGAACTGATCAATATTATTCTTTGTCTAAACGATCATTAGATTTGGAATCAAAAGGAGATATTTGGTGTGATTTCTAATCTATAGTTAATGAAAAAGCATTAGACCCTAATTTGTTGACTGAGGAGGGAATAATTCTTGAGGAAGGAATCGTCTCTTCTCCCCCTTCCCCCTATTCAAGAAATGGTTCAGAATCTTTCTTAATTATAAGTCGATTCTAACAAGAATTATGCTTAACTGTGATGACGAAAGAGGTGATGTACATGATAAACATGATAAAAACACATGATTCTCGCGAAGTTTTTGGCTTTTATTCCACATTTTCTTCCTCAGTCAAGATTTAGAAACATAAAAAAGATTGATTAAGTCGATAATGGATCGAAATACCTAGCTATGTTCCTTATGACTAGAGTTTAAAACCCAATTAGGACCACAAAACCCTAATATCGAGATTAGGATATCTCATATATGATGTCAAATTCTTATAAAATTCATGTAGTTTGGTTAGAGAGAATATGACCCTCGACACGTATCATGTTAATATGTTTCACCTTCAATGTAAAAAGAAAAACAGTTAGTGACAAATTCCAAAACAATTTCCTTGGAATGATAATTGCAGGGATCTTGTTCCCTCTCTCATGTAATCTAGTTTATGCCTCCGTACGGATCTTTTAACCTCATCATATACTAATTAATGGCCAAGTATTTCAAAGCACAACTAACATTGTAGGCCCAACTTGAAACATGAAATCCTCAAATTAGGCAATGTCTCTTATTGTTTTCCTTTTGTTTTTTGTTTCATTTTTCAACCCGATGTCTCTTGGCAGGTATATATATTGTAAGGGTGACGAGATTAGGGTAACTAGCTAGGTTTTTAGATGATAATCGCCTCTAATAATTTGAAATCCTCGTGCATTGTGGGAAACCAAACATGAATTAGAAAAGAAATTAACAAGTAGCCAACATGTTTACCCACTATCTTCCAAATTGTCTTGTCTGATGGGAACGAAGGGATAACAAGCTTGCTAATGGGTTGATTAAAAAATGATTAAGACAGTTGGAAAGTGGGGGTTAAGCAAGTTGACCACCAACCATTATCAAAGAAAAAATAGTAAAAGTTATTGGGATGGTGTGGCTCGAGGAAGGATATGGAAGGAGTTTGGTGCCCTTTTCTTGTCACCCTCGTCTTAATTTGCTATATATTTGTAGATTGCGATTCATTACTTAATAATAAAATACCCAAGGCGATGATGAGTCGGGCGGGCTCCAGCTCCAGCTCGACCTAGGTTTTTTTGTCATCGAGACCTTCAAATTTTGACCTGGGCAGAAAACAGAAGTGATATATTCTGGTCGCAAAGGTGTGGATTTTGCTAATATTTTAAGCCCAAATCAAAGACCTGAAATCAGACCCTTGTTCCCTTCTCGTTACATGTTTTAAGGGTCGGTGACATAATAGAAGCTTGACCTGATAACCCTCTATAATGACCTACA